GTAATATTAAGCCTCTGAGTCAATTATTTGGGAAGTGGTTGCTGGGTATTTGGGAACAGGCAGGCAGGAGAGAAACCTCTGGCTTTAATTAATTGCTTGTTTTAATTAATTTGGCCATGGTGATTTGGGTCAGTGGTCTTCCTCCTCTCACCTTTGGAACTAACATTATGTCTCTAGTATATGAGCCTTAATCACAATCTCCATCCTGGGAGAAAAGCTGCAAGTACTCTTGCCTTGGAGTCCATTGAATCCTAGACTTGGCATCCCATAATAATGAACCTCCTAGAATCCTATGATATAGAGCAATTTTTATGATATTTTCACACCTTCCTAAGAGCCACATACAGCAAAAGGGTGGTACAGAGAACAATACTACATATCAGTCAGTTTAAGGCCCATCTAGCAGTTTCGTTTTTTACAATAGTCCTCTGCTCATTCAAATTGTGAAAATTACCTACCAGCTAACAATTTAGCTAATCTCAGCTAATCAACATCTTCCTTGAATCTTGAGATAAAAACTCGAAAAGTATGAATATTCTATCCAACTGGAGTTTTAAACCAGGGAGAAGAGGGAATCTAGGATGCTGGGCACCTATAAGAAGAGTAAACTTTAGAGCTGAAACCTTCTCTTAGCAAGCGAGCCCTGAAAGATAAATCACAGGGAAAAAGCACCAGGAAGAAGAGGGCATCTTGTCCAGACATCCTCCAGTGAGGTCTTCTGCATGGCAGAGCTTCTCTGGCTCCTCTGCTGCTTCTTTAGGAGTAAGTAGAGTCAGGAGCAAAATTGCAGTGGGAGAATGGAGGAGAACTGCCTAGGAGAGCGGAGTGTCTCAGTCTGAGGACACTGTCTGCAGGATTATCACCTATAAGAGATTATCTGTTTGCTTCTAGCATAGAAAATAGTTAAGGCAAAGAGAATATAAGTTTGCAATTAACAAAGTTAGCCAGAACTTTTGATCAGGGTGCCTGCTGATAAAGGAACTCTCCAACCTTAAATATGTAGAAATGCTGAACAAAATCACACATAACACGAGAGAGAGAGAGAGAGAGAGAGAGAGAGAGAGAGAGAGAGAGAGACAGACAGACAGACAGACAGACAGACAGACAGACAGAGGCATATACACACAGGCACTGCCCCAGGGTTTAATAGAAAGATGGACTTCTAAGTCAGACCAAGGAGATGCAGCTGAAGTCAGAGGAAGACCAGACCCTAACAAGGGACTGAGTAGCTCACAACTGGCCTTTCACCTTGCTAGGAGCTAGGACCAAGACACAGAACTTGACCAGACACCAGGGCAGGGATCATCACACGATGATGTGGCTCTAGGACTACTTATGCTTGGGCACCAGAGGATCAAAGGGGTCACTGCAGAATGCTAAGCTAGTGTCATGCATGAGAACCCTGACATTCACACAGGCTCACAGCACGGTGTCCCAGGTCCAGACAATAACACAGAAGCTGATTCTGAGCCAGTAAAATGTACATAGCCCTCAGCAGAGGCAAAAATAAGAGCTGTCTTCAGAGGTGGTGTCATTACTGGATCTCAGTTCAGAAAGGAAGGCACAATTCACAAAGAAAACGTAACTGCCTTCCTTCTTTAATCACTTAAAATGTCTGTGAAACTGTAGAAACTTTGGGCAATATTAAAAGGCAAATGACCAGAGGGGGGGAAATACCTGTAACTCCAATAGCTGATTAAGATGTTGCATCCTGTAATTATAAGCCCCAGCTATAGATTAATAAACAAATAGAAAAATAGAAAAGAAGTACAAATAAGAAATCTATAAGGGGCTGGAGAGATGGCTCAGAGGTTAAGAGCACTGGCTGTTCTTCCAGAGGTCCTGAGTTCAATTCCCAGCAACCACATGGTGGCTCACAACCATCTGTAATGAGATCTGGTGCCCTCTTCTGACCTGCAAGGATAAACGCAGGCAGAATACTGTATACATAATAAATAAATCTTTTTTTTTTTTAAAAAAGGAATCTATAAAAGAGAAAACTTCCCAGTAAACATAAGAAGATATTCAGTCTCAGAAACACAGAAATACAAATTAAAACACTAATGAGATGCTTTTCACATTTATCAGATTGACAGAATTCTAAAAACAATTATGATAACCATATAAAGTTTAGAAATCATATGAAATTGAAATATGTTGATCCTAACCACATAATCATTTCACTCCTAGAAGCACCTAGAGAAAGCTCTGCTTAGGCCAAAGGATGTGGGCCTGGCTGCTACAGGTGCATGTCAAACAGAACAGTGAACCTTTGCCGACTGAGCTGAAATCCGCTGGGGAAGATGGGGAAACCGGCAGCTGTGTCTACTGTGGAATACTAACCATCAATTAAAAAAACAAACCAGCTCTACCCCACATTGTTAACACAGGACTGATTTAAAACACAAGCTGGGAGGGGGAAAGGAGTGTTGCAGAATGGTAGTGCCCGTGAAAAAAAATTAAATCATAGCTTACATGTTAAATTGTTTTAACAGCTATAATATTATTCTGGGATGACAGGAACAAGTGAGGAAGGTGCTGACTAAGGCCTCAGGAAAGGACTTCAACTTTCTGATACTCTGCTTGCTCTTTTTGAAAATGTGAAATAATGTAAAGCATATTAAAAATTCTCACTGTTACATGATGAATACTAATATATTAATCTTTGTATTTTAAAAGTATTCCCTAAATGAAAAAAATATGATTGAAAAGAGAATAAGTGAAATAAACCAGATACATTGGTCCTATACAATTTCTAGGTGTTGAAATCAAATCTCAGAGTATCAAAAACACAGCAAGGTCGCCACAAGATCTTAGTCTTGCATTTTCTACATGCCCCTCATCATTATGCAAAACACTGAGTAAGACCCTGCAGGTACCTTAATGGAATGCAGCTGGAGCCCCAAATGCACTAAGCATATGGACATCTTGACTTCTTTTCAGCATCTACTTCCTTCATGCTCCTAGGTATAGGTTAGGGCTTGCACTCTAAAATGTGGGAAGGATGTTGCAACTAATGTCACTGAAAATCTCCTTGATCTCCATCATGCCTTCTTGCCTTAGGCTTTACTGATCCTGCCGTCATCCTGGCCACCACAGCTGTCAATCATCCATTACCCTTTCTGTGTTTGTTTGCTCACTTGCTTTGGTGTTTCTGAAGCCAAGTGTCATTCCTTCCTGAAAACTCATCAAGTCTTTCTTTCTCACCTTCTAAAACTCATTTCTTTCTCTTCTAGAGATTTTATGTCATGACTGCAAAGAAAACAGTGAATACTGTCTTGCCATGCTCTCCTGAGTATCCATGCCAACTGCCCAACCTGAATCTAACTTCCACAATTCAGTGTGCTCCCTCCCATGATCAATAATTGACTTATTTTATTTGTCTTGGTCTTTGTAAACCTTTAGGAAAATGGCACTTTACTTAAGGCTCTTTCCATGATACTGAAGGAGCTACTATATGTAACGAATGCTTAGATATACAATGCTTTCTGTGGTCATACTTAAAGGGAAGAAATGCTATGAAAGCACCCTAGATAGAAGACAAAACTAGGGATATATACATCAAATACTGGACTTTCATGATAGCAAATAATCGTTTAGTTGCCCCACAAAGATACACAGTTCACTAACACTATCAATATTTAGTAATTATTGATGTTTATGCAGTTATTCCTTTTAAAAAATCATCTTTCTTCATGTGGGCCTGATAAAACCACCCAATTTACTTTTTTGGGAGAATAAATAGAATTCAATTTTTAATTAAAACATATAAAAGCTGTGAAGACTGATCCCTTGCGGCTGACTTTGTCAAGTGGCCCCAGAACCTTCAGGGTGTCACTTTGGACATGTGCTGCTTTCCACTTCACTCAGCTTTCGGGTGAAAGGGCATGGCACAAGTCAAGATCAATGACAAGTGACAGATCAGCAATCCAGCCAAGTTGGCTTAGAGACTCAAAGTCCATAGTGCCCTCCTCCCCCAGTACTGAACTCTGAAGGAAACGCTTCTCAACAAGGGCTTCCCAGACTTAACCATGGTTGCAAGAGCAAAGGGTAGTCCACCAGTGGCCATGAGTCAATCAGTCATTCTTAGCATTATAAGCAACTTTTTTTAAAAAAGTCATTTTTCACATCATGCCGATCAAGTCAATCCAGGTGAACTTTCTGGGCCCTCATAAGCAAGACTGCAGGAGGTCTGCCAGTGAATCGATTTCCTTCCATTGCGCTGGTCACGAGGTAACCACTTTCTGTGAATGATTTCCAGAGTCAGCAGTTCCTTAAAATGTTGCTTGATAACGCTAATAACGTTTTTGACTAAATATCTTTACTGCAAATTCTGGAATTTTTATTGTAGCAACAGACAAAATGTCTAAATTCTGTAATAAGATAATGAAACCAACCCTCCAGCCTTTCTATGCTCTACAGAGCAGCAGCACACTTTAGGAGTGTGGATGAGATTTTGGTGAGTATTTGTAAGATTTAGAAACAAGCATTTGCTCCAAAGAAGAATGGTAAATTTGTATTACTGAAAAAAAAATCTAACAAATAATAAGTCAGGAAGTGAAGTCTGTAAGGGCCTTTTGGCATTCCATGAATTGTATACTGTCCCTGGTACAATATATTGTGCCAGCAAGTACATTTCAAACTATCATTTGCCACATTACCATAAACCAAAATGCTCTCCCAGTACACTGGAAGCTTCACAATGTCCCTCCTTAGTGCAAGACTTAAGAATAAGAATAGCCGCAAAATTTGCCTTCTCCCCCCCCCCCAATATAGAATGAACTTAGTCACAGATACCTTGTCTTCAAGGCAACAAGACAGGTTCTCTTCCATGCTTGCAAATCTGTGACAGTCATATATAAAGCAAGACTTTGCTCAATTCTCACAAATGTTCCCAGAACAGCCTGGGAGAGTTCTGTGTCAAACACCAAAGAGAACCAAAGCCCAACCAAGCAAGTAAGGCCCCACTCCCACATCCAGGGAAACAGGAGGTTTTATACCTTTATCTTTGCCTCTTCCCTTTGTAGCAATTCCTTCTTTTTCCATAGTTTCTCTTTCTCCTCTTCCCTTTCTCTTCTTCTGACGGAAATTTCCATTTCCAGTCTTGCTAGCTCTTCCTGATGGGCTCGCCATTGAGAAACCTGAAACACATAGAAATCCTTCATTTCAATAACTATGCACTAACACAGGATTTCACATGGGACAAGTTTCTGCATCAAGGAGATCAAGTTTTTCCAAACGTACATATAAATTATATGTGCATATGAGGATATGATATATGTGCAAGCTGGTATAGAAAACAGCAACTTTAAAATAACTCACTCAGACACTCCTTAGCTGAACTCAGAAAGTCATAAAAGTTTATGATTTTCCTGCAAGGAATCTGTGACTTTCAAAAAATTCTAGGCCAGGAGAGTAAGCCCACCCTTGACACTGCCTGGAACACCAAGACCCACAGGCTGGATGACCCAGAGACCTAGGATAGAACCAAACATGACTGGAGAAAAAAATAAAAGAGGTCAACGTAATGATGCCTAACGATATTTCACTATACTCAGAGATTGGCTCCTACACCAATTGTTATCAGAGAGGCTTCATCCAGCAACTGATGGAAACAGATGCAGAGACCCACAGCCAAACATTAGGTGGAGTTCTGGGAATCCTGCAGAAGAGGGGGAGAAAGGATTGTAGGGGCGAGAGGGGTCAAAGACACATGAAGAAACCCCACAGAACCTACTATCCTAGGCTCTTAGGGACTCACAGAGATGTAACCGACAACCAGGGAGCCTGTGTAGGACTGACCTAGGCCCTCTGCATGTATGTGACAGCTGTGTAGCTTGGTCTTCTTGTGGGACTCCTAACAGTGGAAGCAGGAGATGTCTCCAACTCTTTTGCTGGCTTTTGGGAACCTATTCCTCATACTGCTCTTTCCTGAACAGAAACGGAGGAAGAGTGGATTGGGAGGTGGGCACAGAAAGCGGCTGCTGGAAGGACTGGGAGGAGAGGAGGGAGGGGAAACTTCAGTCAGAATGTAAAAAAAAATAAATAAATTATGGTAGCTGGAGCTATTGAGATGACTCAGCAGGTAAAGGTGTGTGCTGCCAAGCCTGATGACCTGAGATCAGTCCCCACATGGGTGAGAGAAGTAGGTTCCATTCCTGTAAGTTTTCCTCTGACCTCCATACAAATGCTGTGGCACAAGTGTGCCCACTCACATAGACAACACAAAAGAAATGAAAATGGAATTTAAACGGTAAGGGGGAGAGAGCAATCAAGGAAGATACCCAATACTGATCACAGGCCTCTACACATGCATGGACATGCATCCACACACACACATGCACATGTGGACACATTCACCCACTCACATGTACAACCACCACCCCAACTCTGGAATTAGTCCTAAGACCTTAAAAGGTTTAAGAAGTACTGACAGATTTCAGCTTCCTTATTTTATAAGCATGGAAAGTGAGCATAAATTAAGATGAAAACACAGAAAAGAACTTCCTGGGTATGAATATGGATATGTTACTGGTAGACAAATGCTTTTCATCGCTTTTATCAATATGTAAATACATATCACGATACAAAATACACATAGCCTTTCATTCATTATCCCTGCTTCCAGGAAATTATCCAAAACCCATTGTACTGGTTAGGGTGTTTGTTTGTTTGTTTGTGTCAACGTGACACAAGCTGGAGTCATCTGGGAAGAGGGAACCCTATTTGAGACAATGCCTCCATCAGATTTCCTGGGAGCTAGTCTGTGGGACATTGATGTGGGAGAGTCCAGCTCACTATCAGGCTATCAGCAGTGTCAGCTCTGGGCAGGTAGTCCTGGGTTCTATAAGAAAGCTGGCTGAGTAAAGCCACAGAAAGCTAACTAATGAGCAGCATTCCTCCATGGCCTCTGCTTCAGTTCCTGCCACCACGTCCTGCTTGAGTTTCTGACCTGACTTCCCTTCATGATCAACTATCGGCTGTAGGCTGAAATATAAACTCTTGCCTCGCTCTGTTGCTTCTGGTCCTGGTGCTTTATCACAGCAACAGAAATCAAACAAACAATATAACCATCAACTAGACAAGTGCACAAAAATGTACCTTAGCAATGCTCTCTGCAGCATAGTTTAAAACAGGAAATTTGGGGAAAGTCTAAATGCCCAGCAATAGAAGTTAGCTGAAACCAACTTTGGTACATTCATACAATACCTATGATTAGAAAAGATGCTAAATTTCTGTATTTGTTGATATGAAGAATTCTATAATATTTTAGATGCAAAAAACAATGTAAAACCACATTTATAGTATGATCTCATTAGCATAAATTATCTGTGTGTCTATGCAAAGAGAGACTATTGGAAGGAGGTTTGCCCACATGATAAAAGAGCCTCTCAATATTATTTTGAAAGATTTTTAAAAAGTTATTCTAACCTTTCTAGGTTGGGTAAAGTTAATATAGCCTTTCTAAGCTGGGTACATTTTTTATAAACATATATGTTCTATAAACAAAAAATAAATCAGACTAAAAAAAAATAAAATCAAACTTTTTTCTGATCCTTGTCCACATGTGGCTGACAAAGCAGTGAGGAAAAATGCACAAGTGTGCAAAACTCCACTTATACAAAAAGTAATGCATAATTTTGCAAGTATTTGATTCAAGCATCATTCATTAATAACACACAAAATTAAAAATTGAAAAATAATTCCACCCAAATATGATTAAAGTGCCTCTAAATCATTTAGCTCTTTAAATATTTTATATTAACTTCAAATTTTTAGTTTTCTAAAAACATATCTTGCCATGTCTATGAAGATAAGAAAGAAAACACCACCTACTGGTTTGCAAGTACAGTGTCACCTATCTCTAATCAGCAAGGCCCAGTTCTTTGGACCTGGGACCTAGAACACCTCCTCTGTGTCTGAATCCTGCTGCATACCTTGCCTTTAAGTCTTTTATCTGCAACTTCTACAAACAAAATCAAGAGTCCTGACAACTGTTACCAATAGTCTCCCTCCTGAACACTCAAAGGGATAATTCTGTTCTCTCCTCCACCTATTGACCATCCTGGCCAAGAAAAGATCCTTTCCTTTGCATGCCATGGCATAGCTCTCCTGCACCTTCAACACTGCATGTTTGTCTCTCCCTGACCCTTATCCATTCCACTCTGTGCCCTTTCACCTCCAGTCTTAACCTCCATTTGATTATTTAAGCCACTTCTGTGAAGTCATCTCTTGGGGAGGCTGACTGCAAAATCATCATCAGCTCTTTCTGCCTGTAATCCAACTCTACATAAATTCTTAAGGACTCCTATTTGCTCTTGCTTTTAGGATCCAGACTTCCAAAGTTAAACTTGGGGCCTGTGGTCTTGCAAAAGCTTCACACTAAGACCAGAGTACATGTCTTTCCTCAAATACCTGCTTCTGTCAGTGGGACTACAAGTCTCCCTGGACTATGGATTGTTTTTATTGTGTAAACCCAACAATATAATTGTTCCTTTTCATTTCACAACAATCTTTGTTGATATATATATAACATGATGACTTTATATTTATATGTAGTTTAGTGATTATATATAATATATATATATATATATATATATATATATATATATATATATAAGCTTAGATGAGATTATGATAAATCAATTTTAAAACCATTTGAGATTGGTTGTAATTATCTAGTTCACTGAAAATCTTTTAGCCAAATGTATTGAACAAGACTGGAAGGTTCATGAGGGTGATGTCAATTGATTAAGTTGACTTTCTCACTCATAACCCCACATTAATCTTGTTTATATGTAATCTCTAGGCAAGCTTGTTCCTTGGCTCTGCCTCAAATGGCCATTCTTATTATTACTCTTTTTAATTGTATGTTGACACCAACTCTTTATTTAAGTTATTTTATTTAATCTGTATAAGTGTTTTGTCTGTATGTGTATATGTCCACCATGTGCATGCCTCATACCTAGAGCAGCCAGAAGAGGGCATAGGATCTCCCGAAACTGGAGTTGCAGACAGTTATAAGAAGCCATGGAAGTCCTGGGAATTGAACACAGGTCCTTTAGAAGAGCAGCCATTGCTCTTCACCACTGAGCCATCTCTTAAGCCCCCAACTCATTCTTATTCTTAACTTCAAGGAGTGATAGATACAAATACTCCCTACTTGGAATGTCTTTAATTTCCCTCTATTTCATAAGATGCTTATCACTCAGCTGGGGCCCAAATCATGACTCACAGCTTTCAACAAACATTCTCCAACACATACACCTCTGTCTCTTACTTCATGTACCATGCCATAACTGCTCACTAATTATACTAAACATATTGTTTCCACTTAGAACATATTTCATACACTTGCCTCCACCCTATACTGTCAAGCCAATACCGGTGCATGATAGGTACTTAATAATGACCTTATATGTAATTAATCAAATTAAACTGAACAGTTTGCCCAACAATTTGCCTAAGCTGCCATTTTCTGGCACTTGCAATATAAAACATCCCTCTTCTGTTCTCCGGAAAAGATAAAGTATGTTGATTTTTTTTTTAAGGCTGCAGATAGATTGTAGGACAGGATTGTGAAACTACAGGCAGTCCAATAATCACAAACCAGTGGCTTACATATGTCAGATAACATATGAGCAAGAGATAAAAGAAGCAATGGGGCCAGGGAACCTAGAGTAAGACATGAGCCTTCGGGAACCAAGCTGCTTCCACTTCATATTGGAACCGCTGCAACTGCCAGGGGCCTCCTACGTTTACCTGAAGTCAGTAATTCATAACATTGTTTGTGATTATAATTGTACCCAAAGACATGATGATTGAAGACAGACTTGTGTGATCTTGACAATGGGAGTCAGGCTCAGGCTCGGTAACAACGGGTCCAGTCAAATGGGGCTTTTCAAATCACATAGTGCTTAAGGTGAAGAGCGGGGAGAAAGGGTACCACCGGGGGGAGGTGGGGGAGGGCGCGGGCGGGGGGGGGGAGATCTTACCCAATGGATCCTCGGGAAAAGAGAGTTGGATGTGGAGAGAAAGACAACCCATTGCTAGATTTTTCTGAGCGGTCTAATAATAAGAAAGCTGGCAGGTGGGCAGAGGAATCAATAGCAGCACAATAGGCAGAAAAAGGCACAGAAGC